CACTATTGCGGACGAGAGAAAGGGACGACATGGACACAATTTTAATTTTATCATTTCCTATATAAAAGATTGACCTTACACCACCCATGAAAAATGATAATCATCTTACAAAAATTCTATATTATTATGATATCGATTAAAATATAAGTCGTTTTAGCATTTATAAAACTAAATATTATTTATTGATTTTTTTATCTAAATATCGTCAATAATTAATAATTTAAAACATCTCTCGTTTAATTTCTATTTTTGAATAAATTTTATAAAAAAGAAATATAGTTGTTCATACCTTGCCTTGTACTTTCAATGCGTTTGCTAAATTACAATAAGCGTCTGGAAAATTTGATTGCAATTGAATAGCACGACGATAAGTTTCAATGGCTAAATCAATTAGACTAAACAAAATATAAATAAAAGAATTAAATTCAATATTCATTGTTTTTTTTTTTCAATTACCCTTGTTCATAATACGCACAAGCAAGATTACCATGAACAATTGGATGATTTGGTGAAAGATGTAAAGCACGTAAATAAGCTGTAATAGCGCTAGAAGAAAAACCGAAAATTTTTTTTTTTTTTTTTTCAACAAAAGGATAATCTACCGATCAAATATGCGTGCTTCTTTTAATACATTGCCCAAATTAATATATCCATCGAGAAAATTCGGATCTAAAGCCACTGCCTATTTTGAAAAAAGAAAAGAAAATTACTATGTATAATAGCGGACAAAAGTTTAAAGCAGTTGTATCTTAGAGTTTTCTTCTCGATGGAAATAGCTAGAAAGAATCTGAAAAAGCATTAGAATAACTAAAACAAAAAATTTCTATCAGGATTTGTTGACCTAAAAAACTCCGATAAAACAGCTTTTATGAGGACGTTTGGACAATGAAGACCTTCAAAATCATTTTTTAGCTTGTATTTGAATTTGTTTTTGGAAGTGTTCTATTAAATAGACCAAATAATTCCGAGTACCATGAAATGCCTTCAATTTATAGAAAGTTCAAGAAGCACTTTGTGAAATACGATCTAACATAAATGTTGAAGTATATATATATAGGGTAGAGATTTGGATCCCATCTTCCTTCCGCCTACAGACTGTATATTAATAACATCTCATTATAAAATTTGATCTACTTTCTTACTGTGTGCCTGAAGGATTAAATAAAAGTATGATGAAGAAATGTATTCTAAAATAGATGGGATAGAGCAATATTCTGTGGGTGGCAACAGTAACTACATTGTGTTTCATATTTAAATTCTACAGGAATTGTGCTAACAGCTTATTCTTTTGTTTTTATAAAAAATTTCAATGATTTCGTCGTGTTGCATACTTTGGTACCTTTTATAAATTGAATGCGCTTTAATAAAAGAATGTCATAGAAGTCGAGGGCATCTTATTATACTTCGAATCATTTGGTCTATCTAATAAAACATTTTCAAAGAACTTCAAATAGAAGCCCGAAAACTGATTTTGAAGGTTTTGATTGTTCAAACAGTCTTATACAATCAGTTCTATTGGAGTTCTTTTAGGTCTGCAAATTCTGAGAATGAATCCTTTTAGCTACTTGAATGCTTTTTTTTTCAGATCCTTTCCAGCTACTACTTACTATTGAGATAAAAATTCAAGAAAAAACAACTGCTCTAATCTTTTGTCCGCCACTAGGCATAAAGCATCAATTGAAAGTAACCTTTTCAAAATGATGAATAGCTAACCAAATTTCACTTTGACAATTAAATATACAACCTAAATTACTCCATGCAACAGCAAATGTTGGTTGAGTTTTAATCACTTTTAAATAACACTCCTAAAATTAAAGAAAATAAACAGTTTTCGTTTTTGTTGTTTTTTCTAATTTTAATATTTACTTTTGCTTCTTCTATATAACCCAGTGCTTTTAATAAATTTCCTAAATCATTTCTAACACCATATAAATTCTATAAAACAATTAGGTAAAATTAAACTCAATAAATATTCAATTAAACATACTGGATTATATTGTAATGCTCGTACATAAGCACGAACAGCACCTTCCATATCTGAATTTGCAATCAGAGCAGCTGCATAATTAATACTAAATTATTGAAAATTAAAATAATATATTTTTATTAATCAAACATAAAATAATCTACTTACTATCCATCAATAAAATCTGGTTTTAATTGTAATGCTTTAACATAATGATCAAGAGCTAAACTTAAAAAACCTTTTTCTTTGTATGCATTAGCTAAATTTGAATGAGCTTCGGCTAAATGTGGATCAAGTTTTGTAGCTAAAAGACTATACTGCATTGATCTATGAGAAAAAAACAAATATGATAGAGAATAAAATTGATTATCGAATATATTTACTGATCATAATGACGCATTTGAAAATAAATTGAACTAAGTAATAATAGTAAACTTGTATTATCCGGTTCTTGTTGATATAATTGAAGACAATATTGTTCAGCTCGTTCATAATTTCCATTTTGATAATCACGATTTGCTCGATCAGCTATGACTATTAATATATAATAGGATATTAAAAAAAACATTTTCACTAATAGTTTTATTTTTAATTTACTTTGAAAGTCGTTTACACTATTCGGAGAACGTGTATGATTATGATGATTATGATGTCTTTGATTTGGGCTAGATAATACTGTTGAAGATGATGTTGTATTCTTCACAGGTGACATATTAGGTGGAGATTCTAATAAACAATAAGATTATTTTTATTTATATTTATATTTATTAAAAAATACCAGTTTGATTATTCATATTAAGATGAGGAGTTCGGTTCATATCTTAGTAATCATAACTAGAATAAGATCTATTGATTGATATATATGTAGATAATCTTCAAAACAAAAAACAAAAATATATTCAACCATTCATAATTACCTTTACTTTATCATACGATGAAGGAATAAAAATTATTAGTTGATTGTCAACAATATAGCAATTATAAGCAATGAGTATGGATGAATCATCTGTGAGACAGATGTCACTAAGAGATTGAAGATTTTAGCGAAATCAGATATAAAGATAAATAAATAAATAAACTTATTGCAATTTTTTTTGCATATTTCTGTAAGATTTTGATGCAAACATACAGTTTGAAATTAATGGCTGGCCTAGTTTTCAAATGCGCATTTTTATTGATGTGTATATCACTGTTGTATTTTTTAACTTGAAATAGATGCGCAATTCTAAAAACTTTCGAGTGAGATAATACTCGTTATTGCTGCAAATGGTTAGTTGACTTCGGATATTCGTAATCAGAAAATATTTTTCAATAAAAGGAATTGAGTTCATGATAAAAATGAAAAATAAATTATTTTTATTCTACAAAGTTTTTGTACTTGATGTCCTGACTAAGACTTCTCATTACGTACACTTTTCAAGCGATACAGTTCTATTCTTAGTTTATTGTCTATATATGTCATTTATACTGAATATCAGCGTACAAAAATTAGAAACTTCTAATTTGACAATAATACCTTCAATATAATAATCATAAATGAAAACAAGAGTGTATCACGACTAGAAATTGTTGAGAAATATTTTATTCTTAGATAAACAATAATGAACTTGTGATTTTTTCTCTGCATATATGAGTACATTTTGTATAAATGTGTGAATAACTACAATAAGTGAATCTTTTTCGAACATAAATAATGAATTAAGGAATTATCGAATAGTTTATTGATTAGAATGATTTTTTTCTAACAATAAACTTATAAACCTTGGGTATAAAATTCAGGTTGCAATTTTAATTTTTTTTCGTTTTGATATTTTTTGTCTTTTTGTAATACTTGTTTATCCATTGAAAGGTATTTATTGTATATTATGGCAATAACCATATAAAGCCCAAAACTTACTACAATTTTAACTTTATTTTAAAAGACGACAGCTATTAACAAATACAAAGCGAGACGACTCATGTGATGCGTTCGTGCGATCACCTGTCTTATCTTGCCTTTTTGTAATGTCGCTATTACGTATTTCTCATATTCTTCTTGTTTAAATATTGACTTAAGGGTAGTAACTATTGTTTATTAAGAACAAGTTAGTCAATTGTTCTTATTCAGGTAGTTATAAAAGAAATGATCATTGGTTTACAAATGGCATGTTCACTAGAGATGGTGCTGAGCATGACAACTATCTGTTGAAATGACCAGAAAAAGAAGCATACTCACTCATAGACGTTGGGACAGCTTGTTAACGGTGACCCTTTGCTAAAGAAACCTATGTATCATATTAAGAATTCAAAGAATTACTGAGAAATCGACAACAATGAAGAAGATGAAGATATTAATATCAATATAGAAGCAGACAATAATAGTGAATAACTTTCACTAGACATAAGTATTGAGAACAGCACTTCTGAACTTCGTTATTAGAGGTTTTGATAGGCATTAAAGATTTTACTTTTCTGTATAAATCTATTGTCATTTAGGGTAAATATATAAATTTGAAAAGCCTGTGTCACATACGTATGCACACAAGTTTTCTTTCAACTTTTGCATCAATGCAGTTGGATGGTCTGTAAAATAATGTTATATCATCCTATAGTCTATAATGTCCTCTAGTAAACATCAAAATATGATAGTAAAATAATAAAAGTTCGGTTTAGGAACAGTAATTACACAAACCGTTTGGAAGTCTGAATATGAAACCAAAGAACTAAAGTTCAAACAATATTTTTTGAAGTATAAGTAATTCTTTTATTAAACTTTTCAAGTTGATTATTGCATGTATATAATATTTATTCAATTTAATTGTTAACTGACTTCTACTTGTAAAGAAAATTTTACATTTCGAGTTTCATATTCAAAATAACAGAAGTAACAACACTGTATTACAAACATTGAAATATCAATCGAAATGAATAGCAATACACTTTTTACAGTCAATGACAATTTATTCAAAATATATTAATTAACTACTGTTTATATGTACGAAGTATTGATTTAATAGCCATGAAGTTGATTGAAAATACTACTTAGCGCAAATATTTACTTTTTTGCAGTAATACAACGAATATTTCTTTTAACTGTTTCTATATTGGTATGTCTCAATGGTAAAATTTTCTTATATATGGCCAAAGCGTACTGTAAATAATCAAGAGGTACTTTTGATTTCTGCATATGTGTGTAAGTCATTCCGATATTATTCAAACTATCACCAATGTCGACATGATAAGAAGGATAACAATTTTCTCGAATTTTAAGTGCCTGTTGATGGTAATCAAGAGCTTCTGCATACTTTTCTTGTTGATATAGAAGATTACCTATGTTATTAAGACTATAAGCCATATCCGGATGACCAAAAGTATATAATTTCTGTTGTATTTTAAGTGCATGTTGATGATAATGCAAGGCTTCATCATATTTCTCCTGTCGATCAAGAACACACCCAATATTATTAAGACATAGAGCAATATCGATATGGCAAGGTGGATAAAACTTTTCTTGTATATCAAGTGCCTGTATATAATAGTCTAGAGCTTGATCATATTCAGTGTGTTGATATAAAATGTTACCAATATTGTTGAGACTTTCAGCAATATCAATAGAACCGGACGGATAATACTTTCTTCGTATTATAAGGGCTTGTTGATGATAATGCAATGCATCATCATACTTTCCACGATTATACAGTATGAGACCAAGGTTATTGAGGCTACCAGCAATGCGAATATGATCAGGAGAATACATGGTTTGTTGCATGTTAAGTGCATGTTGACAGAGTTCAAATGCTTCGTTGTACTTTCCTTGTATATTTAAGATAAGAGCAAGATTATTAAGAATATGAGCAATATTGTTGTAATCACTAGGGTATATGTTCTGTTGTATGTTTAGTGCTTGCTGGTAATGATTAGCGGCTTCATCATAATTTCCATTTTGATATAGAATATTACCAATGTTGTTTAGATTGCGAACAAGATCAATTGGATTAGAAGAATGATATTTCTTTAATATTTTCAACGCTTGTTTATAGTAGGTAAGAGCATCGTTAGTGTTTCCTTGCACGTTCAGAATAAAAGCAATGTTACTAAGAATTTGAGCATTATCGATAAGATTAGAAGAATTAAATTTTGCTTGTATTTTCAACGCTCGTTGATAATGATCAAGAGCTTCGTCATTTTTTCCTTGATTATGTAAGATAGTACCAAGTTTGTTAAGCATATATACTGCATCTTTCCAACATGATGGTTCAGCATTCATCGTTCGATTATATGCACGATTATAATATTCTTGTGCAATTTTCCATTCACTTTTAAAGTCAAGAATTCGACCAAGATTAAATTCGATCCAAGCGAGATTTTCTATATTACGATCATGTAATAATCCTTCAAAATACTTTTGTGCTTTGTCATGCTGGTCCAAATTACACATTAAACGTCCAAAAACAATATACATACTTTTTTCTTCAGTTTTGAGATATTTTTCTTCAAGATAATCTGTAACAATCTTCTGTCCATCATTTGATGCATTCATTTTTACTAACCATACTTGTGCAAGACGTTGAGTATTTTTCAATCGAAAAGTAGTTTTTACATCAAATAATACTTCTTGTCTATCAGGATATTCACTATATTGAGAAATATCAGCAAAGATGATATTTTCACCAAGTTCTCGAATATTACATTCGATTTCGAAAATTACTGAGATTAGATCACTTCGTTTGGTTGGTTTCATAGCTACATCAAGAGCTGATGAACGATGCCGATTAGCAGACAAATAATCATTCATACAGATAAGTGCACCTTCATTTTTTTTTAATTTCTTCAATTCTTTTTTTGTTAGTTTTGTTCCTCGATAAACGATCAGGATTTGTTCATTTGACAATAGAAACTTCTGATGTTCGCGTGCGATATTTTCTGTTAAATCACCAATAAAGAAACGAATCATATGTAATTGATCAATATCTTGAGTTCTCAATCCTTTAGTCATCAATTTAGAAATAAATGATTTTTTTAAATACCAACGAATAGCTTCTTCTGAACGATATTCACGTTCAAATTCATCGATTAATCTTTGTTCTCTCAAATTATCATGATAATATTGTTGGCACATATAAATCATTTGGTTCTTTGTTTGTTGATAATGTGGTAGACGAAAAAGGACATGACTAAAAAGTTGAAACCAAAGAAATTCAGCTGATTCTTTCGATATATATTCTGATAATATTTGATGTGGATTAAATAAACTAAATGTTAGTAATTGTTTATTAATAAACTCAATTTCTTCTCGAATAGATGCACACAACATATCTAAATCTGTATAAATACCAAGAATTTTTGAATAACTAATTGTTAAATGTTCATATTTTAATTTTTCTGTAGAAATTATGAAAATACTATCGATTTGATGAAATTTAATAATATATGCAGCCAAAACGCAGGTAACGCACAGACGTTTTTAAAACTTCGAACGAATTTATCTAGAGAACGGTAAGTGGGGAAAACTTGTAATTGGTAACAAATATGTAAGTAAATAAGTTCTGTAATACTTAAAAGTTTGAGTCTCAACCGTATAGCCGTTTAGATTTTATGAGTGAAATACTAGTCGGTAACACACAGACAAAAAAGGCCCTCCGTTTTCGGTAGATGTGAAAGAACTGATAAGTTCTGCGTACTACTCGATGTTAATGAATTTTGTGAGAGAGAGTTTTGTAGCTGAAAGTCAGAGCTATCTTTTGGTGAAGACAAAAGATGGATACCTTGAAAAATGAGAGACCTGTTAANAAAATATCGCACGCGAACATCAGAAGTTTCTATTGTCAAATGAACAAATCCTGATCGTTTATCGAGGAACAAAACTAACAAAAAAAGAATTGAAGAAATTAAAAAAAAATGAAGGTGCACTTATCTGTATGAATGCCAAGAATTTTTGAATAACTAATTGTTAAATGTTCATATTTTAATTTTTCTGTAGAAATTATGAAAATACTATCGATTTGATGAAATTTAATAATATATGGTAAAATTTGAGTAGCATTTAAATCAGAAGTAACGAAAAATATTTTTTCGTTATCAATAGATCGAATAAAATTGAGACATTGTTCGAGTTCACTATAAAAGACAGCATAAATGTCAATTTCTTGTAGATAATTTTCTGTTTTTTCTATATCTTTATAAGAGTTTATATTGGAATCAAACCAAAGAATAATAATACTATCTTGATGTTGGTTATTATTTGTCACAATAGAATGATAATTAGTCACAGAGGAATTTATCTTGTTTGAAGACGACGTTTTATTACTCATTGCTGGGGAAAGGACGTACTTGCTTTTAGAAATCTGAAAATTAAATTTACAAAGAAAACAAAAAGAAAAGTTACACAAGTTACGATAGTCAAATATGCAAATGATTGAATTTCTTACTTCAAGAATAAACACAATTTTATGTTTGAAATTCATCTTTAGTGTTCTTTGTTGCAAGAACTTTTCTTCTTCTTTTTCTTACAATCTTTGTCTTTATTTAGCTTTTCTTGCCGTTATCTTTCTTTTTTTGGCTACGATGACTCGATCTTTATCATTATATACTTGAAATCTTACTCTTATTCTCGTCTTCACGTTTCAATAATAATATCTCAATTGCATATAAGATGGAACAGAAATATCTGTCTAGCAGAAAAAAATTCGAATATTTTTATTTTAGTTCAATCCAATGGATTATGCTATTCTTTTTCCAAAGCAATCACGTTATGAAATATTAGTCTCCAACTAACATCATTAAATTCAATTAAGAAAAGTCAACTTTTGAATAATTCAAAGAAATATTCATAGAATAAAACTTAAAAATTTCTGTATCTAATTTCAGACTAGTGTCTTGCACGGAGCCAACTTTGATGTCGGTTTGAAGTCAATTGAATTTTTTGCCGATAATTCGCTTTTAACAGATAAACTGTTCTTGAATAGTAGTTTTTTATTCTATAATATTTATTGTACAAATCGACCCATTTTGGTGGCTCCAACGACGTCTTATCAAGATCTATGGATATGAAAGAAAGTCGGAGTTGAAGAAAAATTGGAGCTGAATTTGAATTCGGCTCGCAAATTACTTGACAGAAATGAAAATTTGATCGTATTTATTTTTGTTTTCTTGTAAATATCATCAGATAAGAGTATAAATATGTATTAATTAAATGTTGCCTACTAAAATTCTCGTTACCATATTAGCTTTCTTACATCCGAAGAATTATATTGAAGAACTATAAAGAAGAGATCTTCTCTCATACGTTCGAAAGTTTGCAGACAATTAACTATAGGAAGTTTTCATTATCAGAAGAGCTGCCACGATGAAATCTATCATCAATGTTTTACAGATCAATTCATTTCTGTTCAAGACAAGTAATACATTTCACATAATGAAACATTCATATTGTACTTTTCAAAAAATTTTCTCTACGTTCATCAATGTAAGATCGGTGATTTGTTTCTTCACATCCATCATGATACGAGCACTTAAAGTTGACTCACCTCTTGACTAGCATCGAGAATAAAAAAAATTTATTTCTGACAATTTTTTTGTTCCTTTTATAAATAGTATTTCACATGGTTATATTTTCTCGGATAATAATCACAAATAAATAATACCATGAATATAAAAATATTTATGTAACACATGAAAATATTATTCTATCTCAACTAGTTATTTTATTTGACACAATATCTAAGCAACCATTGCAATAGCCAACATTGGTTGTCGTCAATGGGTGCATGACCGTCTAGATTTATTAGAATGGTCATATCGATTGAAAAGAAACTTAAATCGTGAATTGGCCATCATTAACATTTTATCAGGCAGACATTCGCTAGTGATATGTATGGCATTTTCTAGTTCATCCGATGCTTTTACTGTTTTTTCTATGATATTTGACGTTTGAAATAGTGTGACTCGTTCTGTTACTTGTTTCTTCAACTTCTCGCGAGTATTAATCTTAAATTACTTGCGATTCAAACGTTTATTGTTGGTAAATTTTGAAGGATGATTCTGTTGTCAATGGTATGTTGATTATCTTGTTGAACAGTAAAATTATTTGATATAGTAGCTTCCATTTTTTAATCGAAAAAAGTAGGAAAAGATAAAACTGTATAATTACGAATTTTTGATGATGATGATAAAACATGAGTAGTAACATATTGTTCTAAATCAAGTCGAAGACAAATAAGTCGTAATTCATTCATATTCGCTGATGTTAAGAATGCTTCTGTTGTTTTACATGTCATATCATTTCGTTTCTTAGGACATGAACAACATCGTTTTGGTAATTGTCGTAATGTTAACACAGTAAATTCATTTTTTTTGTGCCATTGATTGATAGTAGCATGGAATTAAGAAAGAAAATGACGATCATGAACAAAATATACCATGATGACAAATACCGAATGCAATGCAACAATTTTTTCTGTATCCGACCATTTTATAGTAAGTGAAAAGGAAGAAATGACTGTCACAATTTCTGACATTTTATGTGAAATATTACTCAATACACACTAAAATAATAATCGACAAGTTCAATGCTTTGTTACTCATGGGAAAATATTAACTTAACGTTATTTCGTAGAATTGAGAAAGGAATACATCTATTACAATCCTTTGAAGTTCTTTTCAGCATTAAAAAAAACTTGGAAAACATTATCTTATTCTAGTAGAATCTTGGTTTAAATAATTTATTTTCACAATATTTAGAAAAAATGTTGCTTATGAATCATATGCAAAAAGTTTTAAATGAGTTCATAACAAACAAGTAAATAATTTAGTAAAAAATGCAAAAGTAAAATAAAACCTAGTTTTTTTTTTTAAACAAACATAAGATGTTCGTTTATGCTTATTTTTACTTTTGACTGATCATATGAATAGATATTCACGAAATGTCTCAAATAATTTTTTTTTATCATTGTCTATTCGTCTTTCATTTTGTAGTAAATGTATTTCACCAAATGATTAAAAACTGTAGCGAGTCATAAGAGACTATATCGACATTTTTTTAGCACAAGTTTTTAATAATTTGTATGCTTTTTGTTATTAATTCAACTCGATCTTCTTCACAAAAACTCGTTCAAACTAAATCTCTCGATGCAAAGATTGGCAAAGCAAACAAAGTTATTTTTAAAAAATCTCAAAATCTAAAGTTGCGAAAAGTATGTAGACTTCACTATAGTTTAATAATAGTGTACTTAAATTGGTCGAGTAACTACCACTCGACTTGGTCTAGAGCATGGACTTTGATGCCGAGCATAAATAGAATATCGCTTCGATTTTCGAGTATGATCTGGTATCCGCACCCGGTTCAGCAATTAATGAAATCTTGACGTTTCAAAATATTTTTACACTGCTAATTTATATAAAAGCATAGAAGTGAAAACCAGTTTAATCATGATTCAGCAATTTATTGTACTTGAGAATAGATCACAGAAGTCAAATTCGGTTGCGAAAAGTCGTATTCGTACAGAACACTATATAACAAAAGAAGAAACAAGGTTGGTTCAACTCAATTAAACTTAAAAAAAAGAATGAATCTACCATTCAGATTGACAATTATTAGAAAATGATAACGAATAATTAATACATAATTAAAATCTACTTATCATATTCCTATTATAAGGTGATAAGCTACTGGTTTTAACACACTATTTAAACGATTTGGTTAACACTCATGTACTCGGCTGTACTCTAGCACAATGTACAGCGTTAAATTTTTTTTCTATAACCAATATTTTTATGAATAAACAAATTAATATTCTTTTTTTTTTTTTCTTTTTTGTACAATCATACTTTCGTAAACGGAACAAGAAGTAATCATTATTGTCTAGAAAAAGGGAACAGAACAAAAAAAAGTAAAAATAAACACAGAAAAACGAATATAAAACAAAACTAAGTAGTTCTTTCAGCTTCATTTGTATTCGTCATTGCTGGTGATGATGGTGTTTGTTCTGTTCCATCTTTTTTCATTGTCAATCTCTTTAATACATCATAATTAATTTTACTTGATACACGTTTATCTTGTGAATGTTTTTCTGCTTCAAGTGCTAAATGAGCTGCAGCAGCTAAACCAGCTGGTGTCAATGAATTAAAACCAGCTAATTGATGATGAGTACTAGCACTATTTGTTGATTTATTTAGTTCATTCGATGCTGTTGCTGCTGCTGCCGCTGCTTTCTTCTTACGTTTACGTCGTTGTGCTGCTGTCATACTATTTGAACCATTTTTCTTTTGTTCAGCAGCTTCTTTATTACGTTGACGTCGTTTCTCTTCTAAGAACCAATCTTTATTTTCACGTAACCAAGATTTAAGTTTAAGTTTTGTTTCGTCACGTGTTAAAATCATTTCATCAATTTCATTATCATCAATACCGGTTAAATCAAGTTCATCATTCGATAAATCAATTGATGGATGCCATTCAGGAAAATCAAGTACAACTTGATGATGATAAGTTATACTTGATGTTGTCGAATTAAGATTATCTTTTGAATAATTTAAAGATGTTGTTACTGGTTCTGAATAAAATTTTAAATAACGTATGAAATATAATGAAAATGATTGATGAATAACTTACCAATACCCATAGTTGCTAAAGATGGTCGAAGAGATTTATAATCATCTTCTTTATTTTGTTGTTCATCATCATTAGCATCATTATCATTATTCGTTAATTTGCTACCATCATCATTAAGTAACGAAAGAATTAATTGTGTTTGTTGTTCTTCAATATAATTTGCAGCCCATTTCATATCATTCTCGTCGATTGGAGCTGGTTCTGGTTCAGTGGTTACCATTGTTGTTAGAATTTCATCATCTTCATCGATTGATTGTTTTCTTTTTGGGTTTTTATTCGTTAATACTTTTTGAATTAATTCATCTTCTTCAGTAGCTAAAACATTTTTTTCTAAATCAACATATTTCGCATATCTAAAAATAAAATAAAAACATGATAAAAACAAACAATAACGAATTTCTTACTTAGCTAATTGACCACGTGGTTTAGATAATTTTTCTAATTGTTCATCAATTTGTTTTTGTGTTTCAAGTATTTCACGTTCAATTTGTTCAATATTAAATGATTCTTCATATTGAGCAAGTTTTGTCATACGTTTAGCTTTTGAAAAAGCTGGTGGATCTTGTTCTTCTTCAAGTTCAATTGTATCAAATTCTTTCATATTTAATTGTGCTGTTGGTGTTGTTTCAAATTCTTGCAAACGTCTTATTATTGTTGCTTTTGATATTTTAACAACATCAACTATTTGTTGAATTGTACGATTAAAATTATGCATACGTGCAGCAAATAATAATGCTGAACCACAAAGACCTGATGAACGACGACCAATATTAAGCCAATCACGTTTCATACGTTGAACAATACGTGAAGCTGTATTAGAAACAGCATTTGTTCGATCACCAAAATCAAGTTTAGCTGCATAACGTGGTATAAGTAGTGATGGATCTGTATGTGGAACATTAATACATAATTCACGTGCTAATCGTAAATAAATTCGTGCTAATACACTAATATCAGCATCGACATGATCACAAAAATCAAGTAAAATATGTTGAGTAGCTTCTGTTCGACAGATAATATATAAACAAGCAGCAAGTAGATGACTAGATTTATTTCCACGAGATAATCCTCGATCAAGTGCCATTTTATATATCTTAATAACGAAAAATTATTTTAAAGAAAACAAAAAAAATACTTTTTTTTTTTTTTTTTCTTTAAACATACTTTAAATGCTGCATCAACACAATGATGATTCATACGCATATTACTTGCAATATCTGTTATACCTCGACGAGCTTTATGTAATGTTACTTGTCTTGATTCTCGAATATTAAAACCCATCATACCACCAGCACTTGCACCACGAACATCATCATTTGATAACCATTGTCCAACAACTTGTATACCACCGCCACTTGTTTCAGTTATTTCAGCTTCATTAACAATACGCATATCTTCAATAACTTCACCACATTGCATACATACAGTAACACCCCGCGCTGGGTCCGTATCGATCTCTGTTCCACCACATTTACATGCTCTACTCGACATGACTATTTTGGCTGTATGTAATCTAAAAGTGAAAAGAAAAACAATCGGCCACATGATGAAATGTCTATTAAGTGCATTTGTTTGTGATGGTGCAATAACCTTCGTTCTCTTTCCTTTCATAAGACAAATAACATCATAAACCTTTATTGGTAACATTTCTTTAGTTTATTTTTATTTATTTTTTTTATACAAAACAAAAATAAAGAAAATTACACAATTATTCATCATCATGAAAATTATCTTGTTTATCATCGTCAATTTCTTTAGGTTCTTTTACATCAAAATCTTCACCATATTGTATACTTAAATCGATTTCCACTAATAAATTTGTTATAGAATTTTCTTTACTCATATCTAATGCATAGAATTTCACTAAACTGTAATCATATATTACACTTGCTATTGCTTTATTCAAGTGACTATAACGACCGAGAAATGCATTTGATAGTTCACCGTTTGCTAACTGATATACATCAGGATCAATAAATCTAACAGAAAGAGACAAAAAAAAAGAAATAAATAAATTCAATCAAATATGATATAAAATAAATACTTTTTTAATTGTTTTTTATCACGTTTTGATAAAAGATCAACTTTTGATAAAACATGAATAAATGGTATTTCAAGTTGAATCATTGATGATAATGCTGTAAGCATTCCACTTAAAAATTTTGATTGTTGAACACAAAATTGAGCATCAATAAGAAATACACCACACACACGAAAATTCCAATTTTGTAATTGATCAACAACACGACGCATTACTGGTACATGAGTATATAATTCAATTTGACCTATTATTTATAGAAATCAATAATAAAAGGAAAAAAAAAAAGACTAAACAAAATAATAAATTTAATTACCGGGACAATCAAATAGAAAATAATCATCTTCTTCATCACCTAAATGTTCATGCAACCAATCGAAATTTCGTTCAAAATATCTACAAAAAATATTTTTTGTTTTTATTCTTTAAATAAAATTTAAATAATAACATACTCCATACAAAAAATAAGACCACCATTTGGACCAAATCGAAGTGCTTGATCATCCATTGCATCATCGATTTCAATTAAATCTCTAATATCTAAATAAAATTTCTTTTTGATAATTTCAACAAAAAAAAAAAATATACCAGCAAAAATTGGATAATCAAAATGCTCAGCTGCTGGATCAAGATTAATTACATTTATTGTTCGTTTAATTACTTCACCATGTTTCACCATTGAACTACAATATGTTGATTTTCCTGAACCAGCTGGTCCCTATAAAAAATTTTATTAAATTCAAATTTTAAAAAATTGAATTATGTCAAAACTCACTAAAACCAATTGTGCATATCGAGGCATTTAAGAATATCTTAAAAAGAAAGCAAAAACAAAAGAATTTTCTTTTCAATTTATTAAACTATTTTCTTACGTCTAAAATAAAAAAAAACAAAAACAGAAAACTTTTCTATAGACGTAAATATTACAAGACACGCACGAAAATGACTATATGTATATATCAGTGTTATACAAGAGATAAAACAATGTCTGACAAGAAGTGAGAAGATTATGTTGCACGGAAGAAAAAAAGCAAATAGATTGGATATCTAGCACCACATTGACAATATTAAATTTAAAAAATGTGAATTCCTGAGGAAAAAGAAAGCGAAAAATGAATATCTAACATTGAAAATCTTTTTTCATTAAATTGCCTAATTGATTGCGAACATCTTCAAGTACATCAGCAGGATTTTTATCGATTTCATCAGTATCTATTGATTTCATTTCTTTTGTATAGTTGTTTAATAATGGCCGATTTGGACTACGAAATGGAGATTTATCTAATGAAACAAACAAAATTATTTTCAAGAAACAATATAGTGTTGACCACAATTATAGAATCACTTATTCAAATAGATTTGTGTAATAGTTTTCGATCATTTTAATTCTCTTATAGAAAGAACAAAATTATGTAAAACATATATTCGAATGTGCTCTGCTTGAATTTGGCATAAGGTTTACTTCATAGAACTATTAGATTTTAGATTTACACTAGTCTGGTTCGAAAGAAACATTGATTATGTAGAAGAATTGATTTTGAACATTTTTATAAAACGAACTTTTCAAACTGATTTATACTTGCTTTTATGATAGTACTTCAGCTTATATTGTTGAAATCGAAGTGAAGCAGCTTTAAAGAGAACAGATTCGAAAAGAAGACACATTTTGGTTGAAGATAAGAAGTTCAAAAGTTCCATTCGTTAGAAATATAACTATCATATCACAATATATACTATCTAAGTCAGTTTATAGTGAGTTCACAAAGTGATGAAAGTGCTCCGTATATGCTACGGACTGACTTAAGTAGTATATATTGTACTACAATAGCTACATATCTAAAGAATAGAGCTCTCCAAAAAAGCAGTTTCGCTTCAATTCTAATAATACTAGCTGAAATAACATTATAAAATCAACTATAAGTCAGTTTTAACAGTTGGTTTCATGAAAAATGTTTAGAATCTGGTTCTCTACGTACCGATGTCGTTTTCGAGTCATACTAATGTCCGATTATGAAAAAACCTGAGAAAAATATTATATAAATTCTAGAATTTTGGCTAAGTAAAAATCCACAATTCTTGACAATCATCTGTTTCTCTAAAGTCTAATAGTTCTATCAAGTAAGTCGTTATGCAACGTTTAGAGAGAGCACACCATAATACATGTCTTCACATAATTGTTTCTTTGTGTAAGAAAATTGAAATGGTTGAAACTTATCACACAATTCTATACGAGCAAGTGGTTCTATAATTTTGACCAACCCTGAATAATAAATTTACATTGAGATGTTGTTGGCATACTAGTAGCTTGTTGTTGTTTATTCGTAATTGGTGGTGGAATAATTGGTGGAGCAACAGGTACAGTAAAACTTCGTAAATTTGGTTTTGATGGAAGAAGAAGTGCACGTTGATTATCTGAACTTTCACTACTATTATTATTTGAAGTAGATATTTTATCATAAAGACCAGTTCCTGTTATAGGAATTGATTGAATTGATGTTGGATTATGAATTGAACTACAATGGCTATTCGATGGCGAATGTTGATAATCAGGTGATGATGGACCTTAACAAACAACAATGACTATATTTAAATTTATTAATTTAAAAAAATCATACCTGATCCAATCATATGTGATTGTTCATTAGGTCGAACAACATATTGAGCTTTCTGTTGAATAGGTCGAACAGTTACATGTTGTTGTTGAACTATATTTGAATGATTCATAATAAATGCAGTACCCATGGCTAAAAAAAAGAAAATTATTTGTTATTTATCTGATAAACAAGATAAACGTTGAAACATACGTAAATTTTTCATAGATTTCTTTTGTGTTTGTTGGTCAAATGATGTACCAACAGCAATAGGTCTTGTACGTATACTTGTATTAAATTTTCCATTCATTGTAAAACCACTTGTATTTCCATCAAGTGAACTTGAACCATCATTTGATGGTACATATGAATGTCGTTGTTGATCATTATTTAATTCAATATTATTTGTTAATGGTTGTGTTTCTTGTGTATGATGATAAAGATGATGATGATGATGATTACATCGTTGTAATGTTCCACTACCAGCTGTTGATGATGTTTCATAATGTCTTTCAGATGTATTGGAATTTCGAATAGTTGCTGTTGGTGGTGATAAACAATCAGCACCAGCCCATAAATCAGTTGGTTTTATTAATGATGATGATGCTGTATTACTTGTTGGGGAATATTGTCGTTCATGATTATGTATTGGAGAATCATGAATATGTTTTTTATTAACTGACCAACAACAACAACAATGTGATTTTGAACAAATTATAATACCAGAAAAGAATAAACATAAAAATACAATACTAAATGCAATTAAAATAAGAAGCCACGAATTATTTGATAAACCCATTGATGGCCATCCAAATAAATTTTGATCTAAACAAATTAATAAGTAACATGTTTCTTGTGTTTTGTTTTAAAGTATTCAGTAAAAGTTAAAAATCTTTTTCTTTCTAAATTGATCAACAAACTATTCCAACTATATTCCGCCGTTTGAACTAATATTGGACCTATGAGGAGGTCTCGATAAGACAAGGAAAAATTTAAAACAGTTTATGTTCATAGAAAAGCAGTGGCGTACGCAGGGGGGGGGCCGAGGGCCCCCCACCTTGAGACGAAAAAGTCCTGAAGGGGGGTACAGGAAAAAATATTTTCGCGTGATAAAAATTTATTTGTGCCATGGCGGGCCCCCCCCTTACGAAGTTGGCCCCCCCCCTTGAAAAATTTCTACGTACGCCACTGTAGAAAAGTCTAATAATCTTTAGAATATTCTGAAATTTTCAGCCAAAAGAAATGCTCATTTATCTAGATATTGAGTTTCCAACAAATAATCGCTTGTCATAACAACCAAGTTTAATTAGTATTCGGTATCTTGACAAACGAACATTCTGTTTGGCTGAAAATTTCAGTATATTTCAAGATTAATTGGTCCTATCTATCGGCAAAGTTCTCGACCAAAATTCCATTAGTTCATTTTTCGATAAATACTCACAAATCGGTCAAAAACTCAGTAAGAGTTCATAATGCAAATTATAGATCCTACCAAAACTATTGATACAAATTAGTGAAAACCGAGTTATTTTATAATTCATTTGTATCATCCAATGTTTAGTAAAACAATCATAACTCGGCTTCAGAGGCTCGTATGTGCCAGTTGTTTTAAACTATTGCTAGTTTTACCGAAACTTCCTAATGGGCTCAATATGAACTCAAACGGAAAGTTACAGTTCAGGTCATGTCCTCGACTCCGACTATGAATTTTCTGCTCGGGAAAATGCAATAGACCAAAGTCAGTATCAATCTATTTTTCAAACTAGTTCACTCATTCATGATGAATGGATAAATCCCATGGTTGGTTATAATGTCAATCAATAATTTTTTTTTTATTCTCTGTTAATTTTTTATTAAAAATGAGCAAAAACAAACATACTTGTATTTTTATTTGATTCTATATTATCTGTATCAATAACTAAAAATTAAATTAAACTCTTATTGTATTTTATAAAAACAAATTATATAAAATTTACCATAAGGCGTTTTATGTAATCTTATTTCTGGTGTTGATTCATCATTAAATTGATTAACAGAAACAATTTTAAATAAATATTTTGTACTTGATTTTAAATTTGAAATAGTTAGTTGTGTTATTTCAACTGGTACACTTATTTTTTGTTCTTGTCCTTTGTCATCCTGTTCATTATAATAAATATGAAATGATTTAATACCATTTATATCATCAGGTAATTGCCATGTTAATGTTACTTTTGATGGATCATTATTTGTTATTATATTTAATTGTTTTATTGGATAAATAACGTTTGAATATTCAATTGCCATTGAATAATCACTTTCAAGATCACCATCAATTGTTCGAACAGCAAATTCATAATTAGTTAATGGTTTTAAATTGTCAATTAAATATGATTGTTCACTATTTGTTAATATTTCTTGTTGTTTAATTATTTGTTGATTAGAATTTAATTCATTAATTTGAATTTTATAACGACGTGATGATGGTAAACGAATTGTTTTTGGAAAATCAACATCAGTCCATTGAAGAAGAACAGATGTTTTTGAATGTGGAATTAAATTTAATTCAAGTGGCGTTTTTGGTGGTTGACGATCATCATCTTAATCGAAGAAAAACAACCAAATATTTTTTTTTCTATTTTAAATTATAGTAAAACCTCTCTAAAATAAACGTCGCTAGGACTTTCGAAAAGTATTTCCAACATGGAATACAAATCCAAGTGAAATAATTCGACCTTTTGCATTGTAGTTTACTATTATGATAGTTTTTATCATTAATTAACTGAATTTTTTCATTTAATGCAAAATGATTTTCTGATATGTAGAATTACAATTAACTGCAGTTTTAATGCATAAGTCAAAAATGATAGGGAGAAGAAGAAAAAAAGTATACGTTCATTCATTTGAAAAAGGTTAAAAGAGTAGTCGATACTGTAAAAATAATGTTGAAATTCCGAGTAGGGAGATGTTTATTGTATTTAAATTTACCTTCTGATGGCATTTGAAAATCATAGAATTGTTCCGGAACAACTGTATCATTATTTTCATTAAGTGCAATTAATGAAAAAATATATTTTTGATTTGGTTCTACGAAAAAAAAAAAAAGAAGATATTCAATATTCTTTTATTATTCTAATATTTTTCATTTTTACCAAGTTTATCAATAAATACTGAAGTTTGATTTTTATTTATATAAATTGTATGTTGATAAGGATAATTAATTCCATATTGTAAACGAAAACGTTTTATTGTGTCATCATTAATTGTTGCTGGATGAAGTGTCATTACAATTGAATGACTTGTTGCATTCATTTCAATTTTAGGTAAACGATCACGAATAGATGGATCACTTCGACTTGATAAAACACGTCCATTTGTGTTTGATGCGATTGCATTAAATGCTAATACCGCTGTAAAATAAATAAAAAAGAATAAATTAACCGTCTCCATCCATATAATGACGGTTTTAATATCTGAAATGAAAGATATTTTAATAGAGTAAAGGATGTTTTGTTTCATCACAATAATAAAAAAAAACAAAAGAAAAGAAAAAGGCTAGGTAAATAACAACAATTTCTGGATTTTTTTTTGAACGTTATGATCATTGAAAAAAATTCAAATATTGTTTATTCTTTTTCAGCAATACGTGTCAAATGTTGTTCTACTTCAGTTTCTGCTAATATTCTAAACAAAAGAAAAATAAATTTTTTAGATTGATTAATCGAAATAGAAAAAAAGAACAAACCGAAATTTATCATTATCTTTGGTAACAACACCAATTTCAATTTCGCTTGGTTTTAAATCAGTTGAAAGTACGCTAGCTAATGTTGAAATAGCCAACTTAAAAAAACAAAAAAGCATAAATTATTAAAATCCTTTTCATATATTTCAAGATCATTACTTCAATAGCTTCTTCATAGGCTAAATCAGACTTTTTCTTAATACGTTTTTCTAAGAAATTATTTGCTTCTGTTTGCTTTACACCAGCACTTGTTGCACGAAAACCACAAAAATATCCAGCTGGATCAGTTTTATATAACATTGGACCTTTTTCTGCGTCCATACCAAATAAAATCATACCTATATTTAGATACGTTATACTTCGACCAAAAAAAAACAACAACAAATTCTAATAATCTTACTGCATCCAAGTGGTCTCATTTCAGCTTCTTGCGTATAAACTTGTGAAATATCAGCAATACGACGACATATAGCATCAACGGGAATATCATAACCATACTTGTATTTCCATGATGCTGCTTCATATCGAGCTCGTTGTACTTGCCATCGAGAATCAGCTATATGATTTTAAAATAATAATAATCAAAACAAAACAAATTTTCAATCACGAATACATACCAACCATTCCAGTCATTAAACATCCAACAGTTGGTGTAATGGCATTTAAATGACTAACAGATGATGGATCAAGTAATTTGTCCTAGTAGATTGAAAGACTCGTATATCTATGGATTAAGCTTTTACGTAGATTATAATTTTTACAAGCTTCTCATTTTCTTTAGTCATAGAGTATTCAATATTTTTCTTACGATTTCAGTACCACAGCATCATTATATGATATCACTGTACGTGTATACGAAATAGAAAAGAAGGAATCGTGTATTAAGAGGTCGATGACAATTCACAAGCTCTCTGGTCAAATCGTTAAAGGTTCTTTGAAATCCAACTAGAGTTGGTCCGGGTCCGATGAGATCGAGTCATCTGAGAAATATGTCGGATGCACTAGTTACTGAATACAGAAAAAGAATTATCTCGTATCTTTTGGGCAACTATTCAATTCTGATTAGAAAGTATCGTAGAGAATTTCGAAGCATGATTCGAGTGAGTCTGAAATTTGTTGACTCGACGAGCTCCACACCTAACAGAAATCCATAAATGTATGTGGAATCCTAGAACCATTATCGCCATGGAAAGTTACGGTTCCTGCTGAAACTCTAATCTTACAGAAGATTAGACGTTCAATTTTATTAGGTCTGCATTACGGTATATAATCATACGGATACATATGGAACTGCTCGAAGTATTCCAGAAAGCATTGAGCAACTCTATTCCAGTCTATAAGTATTGAATTTCACAGTGTTGGCTGAAGCTTAATGCAATTCGCTGTTTTTGTCATATTTTCAAAAACCTCGTATGCAATAGCTTAACATAAAATTAAAATGATTCTTGAAAAAGGCGAAGTTGATCTCTATCTCCAGAATTCCAGTATATCTACCGAATTTAGCAGACAAACTAGAATTCCTAATATTTATTACAGAACACATTTCATTCACTCTTTTACCAAAAAAAAAAATCTCTGTGACACAATCCTTTTACAAGCTCGATATCAGATTATCTACTTTAGTTACTATCACTGTCACTAAGATTTTCTTGCTACAAAAACTCACATTAGACATGTGTAGGGTAAGCTATTTTTGGTATCCGGTACTCTGATAGAGAAAATTTTTCTAACCCTTGTTCTATTCTGTACATCTCTAACACACACAAACCAATTTTTCATTTAGGAGGAAATGTTTGTAGAAAAGAATTATACTGTCGTCCCCGCATCTCTGAACAGAATGAAGAACAATGCTAAAAAAAAAAGAATCTCTCATGGGACAATTTGATCTATTCAGTCCCATAGCGTGATACGTAATAAAAGAAATTAGTCTTTCTATCTTACTTGATGAGATTTACGAAATATCCCATGACACTCAAAATTTAACAAACTTTCATTTTCAGTTTATTTTTTGAAAAGAATACTTACTGGAATCTTTTTTTGAGCAATGGCAACAACGCAATCTGTACCACGAACAGCTACTGTTGTTAAACCACCTTGATTAATTGCTTTAAAAGCATATTCTACAAACATAAAATAAATTATTTAATCTATCACAAGCATTTTTCTACTCAAGAAGAAAAAAAACGACTACTAACCAACTTGATAAAGTCGACCTTCTGGTGAAAAGATAGTTATATCACGATCGAAACCGGCTGAAGCTGTTCGACTCATTGCGAGACAAAAATTAGTTTTTTTCTTTTAATCTAGAAATATATTTACATATATAAAACAAAAGAACATAAGTAACTAGTAATTGTCTGTATCATCATAATTGATAACACGTCTTTTGCTATCATGAGAATTAGTATTAACATATTTCGGTGTAGAACTTGGACTAACAAATGGAATTGATTGAAATGGATTTGTTTGATTTGATATTGATGATGATGATGATGGTGATATTGTATTTGGTGTTAAACTCATTTTTTTAACCAAACGTTCTGGTCCAGCATTCGATGATGTTGCTCGTTTAAATCCATGATCCTTACCTTGTGCTTGAACTTTAATAGCACCACTTTGTACAAGTTTTTTAGCTACTTCTTTAGCTTGTTCAGGATTTCTTATGGGATCTTTTTGATGATGAGATGAATCATGAGTATTTGTTGAATTTGTTGTTATTCCTCCAGTTGTTGTTGTGAAACGTTTATTTGATGATTTATTATGTGAAATTTCTTTCATACGTTTTTTATATTCATTAAATTCAGCTACACACGCTTCTTCATTTGAAGATAATGCTGATGGTAAAACAAAACGACAAAGTGTCGACATATTAGAGATGTTTGATTGAGCAACTAGTTTGATCGACGACCGATTAATGGTTTATATATTAATTAACCAATAAGAATAGAAAATCACCATTGTTCTGGTTGTTTTTTTAATCAAACAAAATAATAAAGATGTCAGTAATAAAATAAAAGAACAAAAAACAACGAAAAATTATTTTAAAAGAAAAGTTTTATTTTTTTAACTTAAAATTTTTCTGTTTTTATTTGTTTTTTCAACAAAAACTAATCCATGTCATATATGAATTGTATTTTTATTGGCTATAGAAAAAAAAGTTTGCGTGTTCAGTGGTAAAATCCTGAATATTCTTTTTCGTCGTAATTATTAATTTTCATAATTTCTACATAATATTTACGCTAGATATGAATATTATTCGACTATTTTCATTGTTAACAATTTTTGGTTTATTATTCTTTTCTACCACAGGTAAAAAAAAAGAATAGAAATCATGAAATACTTTTTTGACAAAAAAATGATCATCAATTTGTCTTTTTGTAGTTGTTTTTGGTAAAGAAGATCAAGTCGAAGATGATGTAGAAGTCAATGAAGAAGAACCAGAACAAGAGCAAGAACCAGTTTTAACTTCAGATGAAACAATAACACCAGCAACTGATATACTTGTATGAAAAAAAGAAAATTAACGAGAGAAGGTTTTCAAGTGATAAATCACTTTTAAGTTAAAGTATATTTAATAGATACAGCCTAGTTAGGATTCTCTTTTTGAGATATAATTTTTTTGATAACAGTCAGTCTAATTGGAACAATTATGTTGGTAAAGTCTCAAGTCAAAATTCAAAAGTATGATTTTACTTGAAAAATATGGCCTTACACAAGAGAAATCTATTGAGAAAAGTATTTATCTAAACACTCGACTCTATCTATTGAATATAGTCTCAAATTAAAAGTGATTTATCATTTGCAGACCTTCTTCCTTCATAACATGTCAAATCTATTTATTTCAAACTATCTTTTAGGAAGGAAAAGAAGATGAAGATCCAAATCGTATACCATCATCACCTGACTTTCATACAGTTTATATTTTTATTCAACCAGCCAAAGCAAATGGTTGGTTTTTAAACGTATAAAAAAAAATAAGCATAATTTTATAATCGAATTCTTTTTAGAATTAATTGCCGGTAAATTAACTCGTTTACTTGTTGGTACACGTAATAATGGTACACAAAATTTTATTGTTGAATCGATTGATGGTTCATTACGATATCCACAAGATTATAGTTATTATATCCAAAATTTTACTTTATTACGTTCCGAAAAACTTCTTGAATCTAGTTTGGAATCAACATTTGAATATTTATTCATGCCAAGTGAAACATTTAATGGACGACCAATGGGTTTAGTTGTATTAATTAATTATCGAAATAATGTATGAAAAAAAAAAAAAACTTTCTTTTTCTTTTTGTACTGAAGTTTATTTTAGGAAGGAAAACGTTTTCAAAATGTAGTTTTCAATCAAACAATTAATTTAACTGATGCTGATGAAGGATTTGATGGCGAAACGTAAGAATTCGAAAATAATGTTTTAATAAAAATAATACAAAACGATTTTTTTTTATTTAGATTCTTCCTCTACATATTTCTTGGTGCGATTTTAGTTTTATTAGGATTTTTAGCTTATCAATATTTACTTTCACATCGTATAAAACGCTCTGGTGGTAAACAAGGTTCACAAAATTTTCTTGGTAATCAACAAGTTAAAGGCAATTATGACATTGATTGGATTCCAAAACATCATCTTACTCAAAGTAAGTCATACAGAAAAAAAAAAGAAATATATTCTAAAATTTTTGTTTTTGTGTTTAGGTCGTTCACCAAGAAAAAGTCCAAGTCAACGAAAATCTCGACAACCAAATAGTGATACAAATAGTGCAGGAGCTGTATCAAGTGAAAACGATGAATAAATAAATAAAAATCTTTCTGTATGTGTGTTTCTGTGAAAAAAAAAGAAACGACGATTTCGTTTTTATTTGTATTTGTTTTTCTTTTCTTGTTTGACTTTTATTTATATGAGAGATTAAAAAGCCGTCGAGGAACGATATGTCATTAGCACATTTTTACCATTGTTGTTTTGCTATTCATAAGCGAAGAAAAAAAAAAAGTAATACATGAAACGTAGGAAAAATACTCGATAGTGGATTATTTATTGTTTTGTTTTTTTGTCTTATCATTGTTGTTTTGTAGTCGTTGATTCTCTTTCTTTCTATTCTTTTTTTCGGAACAAATAAACTATTTAAAAAAAACACATATCAGTGAACAAAAGAAAAAACACACGTTGTTTCCTTTTCTTTTTCTCTGATATCTTATCACTGGATTGTTATTATCCAGTTGTTTTTTATAGCAAGGTGAGCCAGTATGATAAGAAGGACAATAATTTTTATCTATCTTTTTGTACCTAGATGTGAATTATATGCGCCTCTATCGATTTATTTTTAAACATAAACCAATTGTGCGAAAGGTATATATTCAGAATAGATAATTTAACAAGAAAATAAGCTTTTATTATTGACTATTTTAGATGACTTCATTAGTCAATACTTTAGTTGATAGAGCACTTGATTCAACAACTAATAGCATAAATCCAGCTATTATTATACCAAAACCGATGACATCGTTTGTTGATACTGAAAAAATAAATTTACAACAAATAGCAAATAATTTTTTGGCACGACATTTTGAATTTCGAACAAAAGATCGTGAAAAAAAATTGAATGTTGTTCAACTTATGTCAGAATATGTTGGTAATTTTTCTACACCTATTTCCTATCTGTAAGGAAATATTATATTTTTATCATATTTTTACTATTTTTTAATTTAACTATTAGTCAGTTTTATTTGAAACGTGCAGGAAAATTTATTCAATTTGCTGAAGAATTAGGACCGGTTAGTGTTTTGGTTTTTGTTTCAAATGATTGTTTATAATTTATTCAAATATTTAGTTAAGTGATAGTGAAGAAATTCATCGAACTAATTGTATACGTATTTATAAAAATTTTATTCAACATTATTCAGAATTGATTGGAGCTATTCAAGCTCATGAAAGTGCATGTGATGGTAATATTTGAGCTTTTCATATTCATTTTATTTTATGACAGTCATCTATATGCTTAGGACGTTCATTTCGACGTTCTATTGAACGCATGCAAGTTGAAATAGCTCATGTACCACTGAATTTACATTTACAACAATTATTAATTAGTAGTGCAGATGATCCTTCACAAAGTATATGATCAAAAAAAATGAAAGAATCATGTTTCTGTATAGTGATTGAATAATATTTTAGGATCAATTTATAATACGATTACATTAGGTGCGCCTGCTGTACATCATTCTCGTTTTACTCATGGTGGTCTTGTACGAATCAAAGCTAATGAATGTGAAACAAATGAACACTTATGTTATCTGCAAGACAAATTACAAGCAGTTCTCATTCTTAATAGTGATATTGATGATGCACTTGATCATTTAACACAAATTATTGCAAGTCCATCAACAAATATAGAACATTCTGTACTTAAATTATCTCTTCAAAGAGTTGTTCAAGCTGTAAGTTTTATGATAAGAATGAAATCTAACAGAAATACCTATCATGAAACATAAATAACAAGCTCAACAAGTTGTAGTGAAATGTTTTTGTGCTCTGATTTTAATCTAATTCAACCGGGTCTCGAAGTTGACTCATGATTTGATAGCCTGATCTGGCCCGACTTCTACTCAATTAGAGTCCAGTCTGGTTCGGGCCAACTTAAAATGTAATATTAATAGTATATCTCTTCTGAAAAAAGTATTTCTAAACAATGGAGCCCCAAGATCACTTTAGTCATTTATTAGAACATTGTAAAAAGTTTATCATCATACTAACTACCAGTTGAATAAGACCGATAAATTTTAATGCTTGAAAAAAAAATACCATGAGAGGTACGTTAAATTACTTATTGAATCGAAAGATCGAGATGCATTCGTAGGCACTTCAACTTATTGAAAACTCATTTAATAACATAAGTTTTCACAAGTGTCTGCCAATCAATTTCAAGGAGCAGATTGATTACTATTTTTTTTTTAAATTTATACTGTTCGTTTTAGTACACAGTTAACACTGTTCCACTTGAGTAACACCTATGTCGCTTGACGTAGTTGATTGTGTAGTTGGCCTTGTGTGTAGATAAGAAATATTACTGAACCGAATAAATCATTTGCTTTTATTTATTGGTTAAATGAAGCTTCCAAAACGTTTCGCATAATAAAGACTTCTGACTATTACCAGTTACGAGGTGTAAAACCCACAATATAAATTTTGGTGAAAAATCAGAATAAAATTGGTTATTTTTCGAGCAAAAAAAAAACTTGAGTAGAATAGTGCCTGGTTATTCTGAATGAAATCTGATTTTTCCACTTAAAGATGAATTTCAATTCATTGCTTTCTTTTTTGTTAGATTAATGTAGTTTCATCGATTAAAATTAAATGAAATTTGTCTTCAAGATTGAAAAATACAATTTTTATTGTCTTCAGCTTTTACCTTTATAATCGATTTTTTAGTTACAAAAAAAATCCATTAAAATTATATTTTTTTCTCTTCTCTTACGTAGCAAATTCTCCTTAAAAAAAGAAATAAAGCTCAGGTCGGACGACCCATTTGGAGCCTTGATCTGAATGTAGAATTTCTTGTTGTAGAAAAATTTGACTTCATGCTTCGCACAAACTCTTTTTGTTCACATTAAATTGTGCACCGTTTGATATCTACTGACGATCATTTTTTTAATAAAGCAATACAAGAATAATAAAAGCAGACTTGATTGCGTAGAATATACCTTTTTTAATGGATTTGCTAAGATTAATACGTGTCAAATATATATTTTAAATGTCCTTGAAGATGAGTCTGGAAGTGTTCTGTTGACTCTGACTTATCGTATTGTATCAAGAAGGAAATCAGTTGAAGTCTTTTGTCTTCATCCAATTTCGAATCGAAATATTCTAATGTATTTTTTGTTAAAATCTGAGCTTTTATCAGAGAAAAAGTCAACTTGGTGACAACTATCTAATATATTTCAGTGAATACTTTGTTCATACCATGTAATAGACGAGTGGATCATTTGAATGTGTCACTTCACTTGATTTTTAAGTATTTTTTATTTTCTTTTTTGACTACTTGAATTTACTTTAAAGTTCTTTATTGACTTTAAAATATTTTCATCCAATGAAAAAGAATTTTTAGTCAAAAAAATGAATATAAATTATTTTGCTTAGGTTGTCTCTTTACTTGAATATTCAAGCAAAGATCTTGATTCAATAGCTAATTCATCATCACAAATAGCTGTTAATCCATTGTCATCAAGAGTGTCTTTTCAAGAAGTGTTTGCATCACAAGTATGCCGACGCATAATATCGTTTTAAAACAAAGAAATAAACAAACTTCTACTTTTTCTTAGACTACTATACATGAAAAAGCAAAAAAACTTTTAGATGAAATCAAAGAATCAATGGAGAAAGATGAACAAACATTTGATATTACACAATTAAATAATTTAAAATCCATTGCTAATGAACTTGAATGTCATACATGTAAACATATAATACGATATATATTTCAAGAAAGTATGGAAATCGAACGTTATTCTCAAGATTTTCGTGAACGTTTTGATATTGCTTTTTCTCAGGCGGTAAATACATATTTATTTAATCTTGACAATTATTTTCTTTTATAAACACTGTTATTGTTGTGTCTTTTTTTGTATAGTTGACTTGTCTTATATTTTCAATTTCCGTTCTTCTATCGTCTGTTAAAATAAGTGATCAAGCATGGCAACTTTACATGACTAGTGGTGAGTGTATAGACATGCAAGAAAAAAGTAAACGCTAGAATTTGTATTGCGTTGTTTTTCGAATGCATTTTGAAACAAAAAAAATCAAACGCTCTCGTTCCTTTCAATTTGATCTTCAGCACTTCACTTTTTTTCTTCTGTATTATTTTTGCGAACACACATACGCACACATCTACAATTATGATTCCTGTTTTGCGCTCGATTGATGGTCTCCTCAATCGTTTTGACGAATTATCACAACGTCATGCTAGTTTTATATCAAATTTTGAGAAAAGTTTTACTGATATTGAAAATCCCTTACGTGACGTTGCACGAGATGAAGAAGAACAAAGAAAAACTGCTGAAAGTGTATTAAAGGCATCAATAGAAAGTATTGATCAAATAGGATCAATTGGAACTGTAGAAGATTTTAATCGACGTATAATAAAAGGTCGATCGTATAATCGACCACCAAGTTATTCATCAAATGATACTAGTTCATTTTATAATCGTATTCCATCGAGAAGTTCTTGGGCAACAATAGAATCAGCTCCACCTCCACGTATGTCAACATTAACAACAGGATCAGTAACAGTCAAAACAAATACTTCTCAATCAGTAACATCTATATCGATTGAGAATCGTATTGATTCGAAGACTCGATCCATGACTAAAATTAAAACAAAAGTTGTACCACAAAATCTACCTACAACACATCGATATGCTCGCAGTCCAATCACAACATTTACTATGGAAACTGCTATTCGACTTTCAAGACCAAGGATATATCATCACTCACTTGATCAAAAAGTATCATCAAAACATATTCATCGACGACCAAAACTTAATCAAAATATAAAGAATGAAGCATTGGAATCATCAATTACGCCAGTTTCATTAGTTTCATCATTGGAATCACCACAAATCAAACGAACAAGTCCAACAATAATAAAGTCATCTTCGAAAAAACTTAAAGCAGATAGTAGATTTGCAACAGACAATTCGAAAAGAAGTCCCATGAGCAACTATCCTCGGTCCACTATTTTTCTTGCACCTCCACCTACAATCTGCCTTACTTTTCCTATGCAACCCGAATTACAACCATGTCGAGTTGCCGTTTTACCGAAAGTAACACCCACACAAAAAAAAATTAGCGTTTTCACTAAAAACAGATCCGTTATACCACCAAAGCGATTGATAGAATTAATGGCATAATCTTTTTTTTTTTCATAAATATTTGTATAGTTTGTTTGTTTGCAGAATAAAAATCAATATTAACTAAAGATGATTGATGTTAATAAGTTACAAATAGTGAGAAAGATAAAGAAAAGAAAATTTTAGCTTTATTTTATTCTCTAAAATTTTCTTGCATACTTCATTTTATTCATTGCAGGAATGTTAATCTCTTTCGAATATCTTTTAACATGTGCTGCTGATGAGTTAGGTATGCTTGAAGATTCTGTCGAAGCAATTCATGCATTAGAAAATGTTCATGTACGTTTTGTGCCTGCAACTGCAAATAATAGTTTACTTCAACCTCGGTTTTTTGGTACAAGGTTTTATTGTAAAGTTGTGATACCATTGCCAGCTCATATGTTTGCTCGATTACCACAAAAACTGAAAGATGGTGGATCAATTCGGATTGTACCAATCGTATTTAATATAGGCATTGATCATCGAGCATCACTTGCACGAGTGAAGGCGTTAGTAACAGAAAGACATGAAAATGAAAGTAAAACTATATTTGAAATTTTCTTTAAGATTCCATTTCTTCAGCGCAACAGAAGTCGAAAATGGTCTCAATTATAACAATTTAGTCAAACTCAAAGCCTATATTAACAGAAGTGTTAATAATTTGCCAGGTATTTGTTTTTGTTTTCTTCTCTCCATATTTGAAAAATGTTTTAGTATGAGACTAGAAAAAGGTATATGAATGCTTTTGTTTTTTTCTTAAGATGACATACCTGATTTAATGAAATTACTTGAACAGACAGTCTATTCGAACAAACCAAAAAATGTTGATATTTTTCCACTGGCTGAAAAAGTATGATATTCTTTTGACATGTTCGATAATTTTGTTTATTCCAATTTAGATTTGTCGTCGAGCGTATGGAATGCGAGTCACTGGTTGTAAAAGTGCTAAAGATCGTACATCAATGGGTTTTACATTAGAACAAGGTCAATTACTTGTTAATAATCACAATATTGATCGACATGATTTACAAGATATACTTAATCAATTTCGACGTAATGGTACATCAATTGAAAATGCACTGGCTAATACCGGTGCTAAAGCATATGCTTTTTCATATATACAATTACGTACATTTCCAGAATATTATCGCGCTCAACCCGGTACTTATGGCAATGTTCAAACATAAATCTGACAAACAAAAGACTGTAGTTGTAAATGCTTTTTATTTTTGTAGTCGAAAATATTATATGTAGTTCACATTTGTTAGTGATATATTTCATTTAATTTTAAAAATTAAAAAAGAAGAATATTTTTTAAATGAATCTATCTATGCTTGATATTAACTGTACATGTCATTTCTTATTTGTTAATTAACTGTGAAGTAGTATCTTGTTATTGAGGTACATTTTTTTCACATTGTCCATCGGTGACGAGCATTCTCAAATGCCGGTTTTCAACGTTTACTTATAGACTGTTTTTTACAAGCTGAACAAATGGTTATCGATGATGACATTCGCATACATGGTGCTTTGATGATATGTCTGAAGATTACGGAGTTTATAAACAATCAAATGACATCTTCTTGATAACGCGTTATATTCTGCTATTTCTTGATCTGAAACATTGATTGATCATTTAGAATTCAAAATTTTAATCAATGAAAATTCAGTAATTTCGATTGAACATCTTATTTTATTTATCCTAAAAAAATTCAAAGCGAAACGGATTATTAATTGTGTGATGTCAGTTATAAATAATAGGCTATGCTATTGTTGTTTTTTTCATATTCAGCATTTTCAACATGAAGCGTCTTCAATAGTTAACGATACCATTGAGAGTAGATTTCTGGTTTAACTAATGGAACTATTATAAATGATTGGAATCAGATAGTATTTTGAATGTAAGAGCAGTGCCATGAAGACAACACAAACTGTTTAGAAAGTAATACAATTCTTAGTAATAGTTTATTTATTTCCTTTTTCTTTTAATAAAATACTAAAGGACGATAACAAACTTTTTGCGAATACAGAAAACAATGCATCGTTATTGATTAAGACAATTAACAATTAAACTACAAATAAAAGAGATCTTAGAAGAGAAAACAAATACTGTTTGAATTAACTTTCCAATGTTCAAATAGTGACAAATTTCCATGCAATAGTCTATTAGATTTCAATCTGATTTTAAAATAGAAAAAGATACTCAATTGCAAACTGAAATAGAGAACTTGAGAGCCTGCAGAATGTTTATTATTATGCACTTTGTATACCCTCTTCCTTTATGGCATGTGGGTCTTACGGGTCTATAGATGATATGTAGTATATATAATATCATACGAATTCCCAGGACCAGCAAGATTCGCTTCTTTTAAAAATGGAGGATATATATGGTATATAATATTATTTACATTTTTGAGTGAGAATATGTTGTTAGAATAGGGTTGAGAGTGAGGATGCTATGATTACTATAAATGTATTTCGTCACTTCTTTTGCTTGGTTGTAAGATGTTTCTTGCACGATTTTCTAAGAGACGCATGTTTTTTTTTATACGTACTAAACTCTCGCGGCTTGAGGAAAAGTGGCAGATTTCATTTTTGTCAAAATTCCAGTTTGGAATGAAAAGGGTCATTAGTTCCTAGGTCATTTCAAATGGTTTTTCACAAAATTTATGCATTGAAAATAGCTGCAACATTCAACTGTCGAATGAGGATTGCTTGACAATATCAGTGCCAAGATGACTGAGATACAGTGGTGTCAAGATGAAGATTATGTTCGATTTATAACTCCAGTGTGCGTCAACTAATGAAAAGCGGGTTGATGCTTACGATCAGAGTTTTTCATCACACATATACACCTAAAATATAAACTCAATAACCTCAAAAAATAAATGCATTTGTTGGAGATGGGGGCGTATACAATTTTGGCCATTATTGTATTTGTGCGTATGCATGGCAGTAGACTACTCGACAAGAAGCGCACATGTATTTTTCTCGCTTTTTTCTTTTCTGATAACGACCAAACGACAAGGTAATAAAAATGCGTTGTTTGCTCGGCGAATGAATCATTACAAAAGCAAGCATTTCTGCGTAAAAATAAATCAGCATATTTAAAAAAATGCTGAAACAAGGTAAGCTTTTATTGTTTGAAAGGTTGTGTTCAAGACTATCAAGTAAAGTTAAACTCTTTTTAAATTGTCACCAAGTCGATGAATAATAGAGTTACTTGAATTTAACAATGATTAATGTTAACAGTACTTCTGTATTTTCCGAGCAGATCAGGTCCGATGTGAAATCTAAAGTATTCATTATACATCTTTTGATAGCAATTGCTAAGCGATAAACTTCATTTTCAAGAGATTTTTCACTTTGAAAAAAAAAGACAGAATACTATAGCAAGAACATCATCTTGGAGATGGCGCTAGGGGTTCTACAATATTTTTTCTGAAATATTTTGCTTGAATTTGAGTTTTCACTAACTAGGAGCTTTCAAACATTGTTAAGAGAGTCACGACAAAGCACTTCAATTCCATAGAAAAATGCCTAGCAGAAAGCACGTATGAAATTTTTCCTTAATACAAAGAAATATTGCAAATCTTTGAGCGTATCTTGTTAGACACATACTACAGTATAATGGATACAATCTATCTTAGTAGAATATGACCAAAACATGGGAGTTGTATTGGTTTGTAACTAGACCGCTATGTGATATTTCTAACAAAGTCATCATTTTGTTAAGATCTTTCTTTCTATCAAACAAACCATGTTGCTATATGCTGGGCCAACTCTCATGTTGAAACGAAGTTTTTTTCTAATGAACTTCATTCGTTAGAAACACACTAGTATCCTAAATATTAATTAACGAATATTCAAAACGAAAGAGCATAAAGTATTCGTCATAAGTTTCAAGACATGTGAAAATCAGGCTAGCCGTAACCATTTCCCATAAAACTTTGTCCTGGGGCTTCTGATGAGTTCTGTAAAATATTGGTTGTCAAAACTATTGTTTTTATACATTATAAGGCTTTTGTACTATTTTATAAAACACATCTACAGAAAAAAATCATGATTTTGACAAATAGTGTGTGTAACTAATAATACGGAATGATATATTCAATATTTCAACTTTATTATGTATTGAGATTTACATAGTTTATGATCTCGAGTTTGTTTTTTGCAAAATACATGAACAGAATGTGTACATAAGTAAAATAAAGAATAGTAAAATTTTAGGGTGTGGATTATGTAGTTTAATGAATGTGATTAACTTATCACATATTTTTCTGCTTTTTGGATTCACATATTATGATGATAAACAGCCACGTAAGAATTTGTTCTTATAATTGAAGTGTTCATCCGATGTATTTGCGAGATTATTTGCTAGCATCTGATCGGAATGAATATTGGTCTATGATATATAGTGTTTAGGAACACCTGAACATCAGTCTTTAGACAGTAATCGAAGCCTTTTGCTGACTACATCCTTTGTTGAACCTTATTTAGATTTCAAATACATACATTAGATTAAACTTCGTTAAGAAAACAATCGAAGTTATTTTGGCCGTTAGTAATATGCTTAGGATGCTCTCTTTTAAAATCAATAACGAGTGAAGAACAGTTCACTATTCGTAAATTAAAAGAAATTTTCAAAGTAATAAAATGTCTCTCAAAAATAAGCTTTGTACCTACGAGTAAAAGTGACTCATAAGGAATAGTATTCACAGTATTATTTTTCATGTTATGCTTACTTTTCGTCGTGAGAAATCAATTGTTTTATCAGAAGATGGGGCATGGAATCCTCTAAAAGAACCTCTAACACCAGTTAATTTCAGGTAGCTACATTTAATACTAAACCAAAAGCATTGTGAAACTTTAATATGTTCAACTATCAAAAGCATTTCTTATCGAAAACCTGACGTTATTTTTACGCTTTCAAAAGCAAAAAAAATTGGAAAGGCAACTGCTTTTTACAATCGAATTCACACGTTTCCATTGAGCAGATTAAAGGTTTCTTTCTATAAAATGTCATCACTCAGTAAAACAGTTTTTCATACTTGATTGAGCAAGACCAAAAATGTGTGGTCTTATACATGCTAATACGGGAATTCATGGTTCTCTGTTGGAAAACAAAACTTATTCTTGAATGATTAATTGGAGATATAAAACGAGCAAAATACTGAGAGTGCCATTCTTTATGTGACACTCATTAACGAATAGAGCTTGACGCAAGATTAGCAGCCATAATACAAGAATGTTTCTTCCTTGTATGGCATACAAACATGATGTGAACAAATGTGTAAAACTGTTGATATATTGGATCAATTATTTTTCAGAATAATACAGCGAACGTTGCCAGTATTCTATGTTGATATTTTTAGAGTCACATCTCAAAGATCGTTTATTGATACCGCCATCGTATGAGGAGGCAACCAATCGTCAACAGCAACTTGCAAATTCGTCTCATATTCCTGCCGATGCTGGCAATATTATTTCTTCAGCACCAGTCGCCATTGACGTAAATCTTGTACAACCGCAGTCTACGAAACATCCTCATCAAGCTATCATCATTACAGGAATAATAGTCGGCGGTGTAGTGGTAATATCTCTCATAGCGTCGTTCACATTGATATTTGTAAAACATAGTTTCATTAAAACGACGACTACAACGTCAACCACCACTACCACAACACCTACTACTACAACAACAAAAAGACCAAGTAATATTCAAATGAGGGAGTTTGATTTTTCTTTCTCCGAATTCGATTGATATGCGCACTGTATAACTACTGCAGAAATTATACTTGAGAGAAAAGGCTTGTTAGCCCAACTAACAATAAGACTAAAACGTGGAACTTCTAAAGATGTACGGCTGATCAAGGGAAAAAAGGCTTTCAATTTCATAAAGGCATTCATTTTCTTTAGATTGTTTAACATATTGGTTTTATAAATTCCAAAAGTTAAAAAAAGAAAACTTAACTATTCCATAAATCTAGACGATATTCCGTAGTTTAAAATTTGCCTTTCTTCTTCAGCAGCATCAATGAAAACAAGAACAAAATAGGAATGAGATATTAAAATCATGAAAATCAACATAATAAATCCGGATGAGTATGTGATATGTATGAATGTTGGACAGATATGATGGTGTATGTGTGTGTTTGGGATGGATGTGAGGCTGTGAATGATAGAGAGAGCGAGTATAGGATATGCGAGGATCATAGGATAACAGTGACGATCAGTTGCTTTCTTTCATCAACACCCACGCCAAAAGAAGAGACTCAAACCCTTGCATTAATCCTTACAATCATCGTCACTCCATCCACAAGATAGCCACTAAGCCATACATCTACCTGACTTATATCCTCACCCACATCCATCATTTCGCCTTTTGCTGAAGTGTTATGTGAAAAAAATGCTCCAAAAAAATGTTTTTTCAGGATCGAAAATTCTTATTACTCACTATTCTTCGCAGTCGTACCTGATTCCTGTGTATTTGAAGGAAATTTAAGGACTTTTTACAGGACATGAAAGTTATCTTAAAAACAGTATCATTGAGCATAATTATGCTCAAAATTAATTTCTAAACAACTTTTGCCATCAAACCTATATTTAATTTTTTTTGGTAGTATGTTTCGACGGCGATGGACTATTGGTTAAAGAGGATGGTTCGCGAGTGAAAATACGTGACATTAAGATAGGTGATAAAATACTTGTGGCTTACCAAACAACGATTCACAGTGTTGAACTTCGTTCAAGTCCAGTGCTTGCAGTGGACATCTTTCAGAAATATAATAACGGTTCATCTGTAGATTTTCTGGAAATGCAACTCGAGTCTAATGTTTCTATTAAACCACTGCACATCACCCCAAGACATTCATTACTCGTGAAAAAGAAGCATGATGTTCAAGCGAAGTATCTCTTTGCATCTCAAGTTCAGATTGGTGATTATTTGTACTTAGTAGGTAATGGCTATCTATCAGCTATTCAGACCAAAGTGACTAGTGTAAAAAATGTTCAACTCTTTGATGCTTACGCACCACTTACACTTGAAGGAACTTTAGTTGTCAATGATGTTGTTGTCTCTTGTTATGGAACATATATGCATTCGCTTGTTCATTGGATCATGATACCAAGACGATGGTTACGTCATGTTACTCTTCAAATAGCATTTTCCTTAATGGGACCTACGTATATGAAAAAATATATCGATTATCTACACGACTATTTTTCAACAATTGATTTATTTCGATTGATTATACTCAATCGAATTCGCGATATCATTCATGAATTTGTATATACATGAAGCTATTCTCAATAACAACATATATTTCAATGATAGAAAAAGAATTAACTTTTCAAATTTTGAACATAACCAATATGGAATGTGTCACGTTCTAGACATTATAGGCATTTTGCTCATGATCTGTCAGTGTTTCAATTGTATAATAAACCATTTTTTCATATTTGATCAATGAACGTAATAATCATGCAAAAAGATATTTTTTTCTAAGGAAAGCTTCTTCTATCTGGGAGAACTTTTTTTCAAGAATTTAGATCACATTTTTAATTGATTTTCGAACTAGCTTCTCAGAGACATCTCTATGATACAAAACGATTAGTGCACCCAGCATTATTTGATGAACTGTAACTAAAATGACCAGAGATTGACAATTTCCCCAGTGTCACCACTTCATAAATATACTTCATAGCTTTTCACAATCTTGGGTTGCCCAAGTGTTCACTTTTGAAATTAAGAAAATGAACATATTCAAATTCAGAAATTATCGGAAAATTCTACTCTTTACGAAGAAGAGTGTGTGGGAATGAGTGCCTGTGTGGGTGTAGGTGGGAATGCACTTCTACCCACACCAACCCACCCACCCACTCCACACCCAAGCAACCATAGATAGCATATAACATTATCATTAGTTACTAGGACTTGAATATATTGAAAGAATAGCAAAAGAGAATAAAAGACAACACTTTCGCAATTTTTTTTAAAGACAACAAAGAAAGAACTGTTATTATATATCTTATGATATAGAGAGAAAAACACAGAGACAGGCAACTTTACTCTCTATTCAGCATAGGCAGAGACACAATACAGTCGCAGTTGCTATAAGAACCGCTCCTATTCCTGTACATCGAATTACTAGAAAAACAACGCCAAGTACAATGCTTTCGTGTTCTCATACAACGGACGTAATAGATTTCGCATTGTAGTAGCAATCGTAAGTGTTGTTGACCTATCATGAAATATGAAAGAGTCAATAACTTTAACCGAGTCTAAAACAAATAAATTTTTTTATTAAACTAATACTAATAAAGTATATATTGGAGTTGTTGCAGCCATCTTATAAGTGACCTGAAATACTTTACCTTCAGGTTGCTAAACTCAAAAGACAGCATTTGATAGACCGCTTACCATAAGCACGAAACGAAAATGTGAGGCTGAAGTATACATACTCGAAAGCGTGAGTTGTGAACTTAAAATCACCACTTCAATAAACAATGAAAGTGGAAAATAAGACATAATTTAAAAGAGTTACATGAATCTACAGAACATCAATATGCTCGGGTAGACTATTATTTAAATTTTCGCCAATTCCTTGATATATAAAATGATTCAATTAGGAGCCATTGTACTCGAAATGTTGTCTACGTAGTGACAGAAAATATAGTCAAAAACTTGGATTCACAGGAACAGCGTTCCATATTGTGCAGCCTATGTTTTAGTCATAGAAACGACTACTTTCATCATTGGACGCCTTCTAATCAACATATGAGGATTTTTCGCAGGACTTTTTAACAGAAGTTGTGGAGCAATATCTAGGATGTCTAAGAAATATTTATCTTTGAAATAGGGTTTTTTTTTGACCTGGTTCAAAGATGGAACGAGTCTAGATTTTTGAAGACTGTTGCCGATACTGATCTGAGTAGATCAAACCAAACCGGACCGATCGGTAATTCGTACCAGTTCAATCTCTGTAGCATGCATTGCAAGCATGAGGTATTTACTAAAAGATCTATTAAATTGACTATAAAAACTCTTTCAGATAGATGATATTATCTTATGAGATCAATTTCCAACAAAATTTCATTACATAATCCTTACGGTTAATCTTAAGATCAATAGAAGTTTTTACAAAGGTTGAGATTATCAAAGCTGCAAAATAAATAAGATAGATCAGCGACCGATCGATCTACTGGTAGACCTGCTGATCATTGACACTGATTTCATCTCTAATCAAGCCTACTCTCGAAAAAGACGTTATAATAAACTTTTGAGAACTCTAGATGTGTTGGTACTAATTTCTGAACATCGCTTAGTTCAGTGAAAAAGGGTGTGATATGTTTGTAGGTCTTATTTTCAACTATAGCCACACTTGCACATTCACAGTCACTCTTCAAATGATATCAATATCATTGTCAGAGTCAACAGAAAAATTTTCACTGATCATAAAACACAATACTTAGAATAAGTTTTCATCAAATTCTATTCATTCGATCTCTCCATTGTTTTCTTCGAATAATCTGACAAGTGGTTTCCCTGCAGTTTGAGACTTAATGAAAACATTTTTCACATATCTAGTACACTATTCTATGCAAATTATTTCGCTGATTCTGGATATGATATTGACTTCATTTCAGATTAGAGTTCTGATGATAACAATTTTTGAATGCAAACCAATATTTATAATGTTTTGTTATCATTTCGAAAACATCAATTTTCTCAACAATAGAGAATGGATAGCGATGTCGGTGAGCATATATAGGTGTGAGTGTGTGGATGAAAGTCTCGTCTTCACCATAATCCACATTCATATTCATTTGAGCTATATTCGCATACCACACCCCACAACTTCTCACAATATGCATTCACCTGATTAAGATAATTATAAAGTTTGATGCGACTGAAGAAGTTCATTGCACACTTTTTACTCGTATGCATATTTACATGAGCATTACGTTGACTTTCACTAACAGATGTTGTAATGGCACTTGTGAATTTGATTCTATTGAAAATTGGATAGTTAACTAGAACCCACTCATCATAGCAGGTATAAGTTGTGCATCGCTATATACAGCTCCGCATTGATGGTCGATTAGATGACCCGTAATCGTTATCATTACATTAGGTAGAACATGATTGACATCGACGAACTGTATAATTATAATCGAGCAGAAGGCACATTGTTTTGGTGTCATAAGTATTTCGATTTTTCTGAGTGTCAACATAAAAACAAATATCAAGTCCTAGGAATATGGCGAAAAACGGCGCTGCAAAAGTAGGAGGACAACAGAAAAGATTTTTTTGCCATGGCTGGTTGAAAAAATTCTTTTAATCAAACTTCAGATCTACAGTCCTCAACTAATAGAACGGATACAAAAGTGAGAACTTTTTTATCAAGATAATGATGATTGCACTCTGCTTTGGGAGCTCTATGTCAGAAGGGACTGCTATTGATCTGAGCTTGTGATAACGGTCTGAACCAATAGGGAAATAAGAGGACTAATTGTGCAGTGATTTTTTTCTCTTTTGGACTGGTTTTGCAACGGTTCCTATTCTATCTATTATCAACTCTGCAACAATGCAGCGAGAATCAACCGTTTAAATCAAATGAGTGTTAATTGCTAAACACATTCTCATAATTATCCTCGAAATGACAAAATAATTATTATCTTTAGACTAGGGTCATTTTCACGTGCAATAGCAAAAAATGGCTAGTGTCTCAGGATTTTGTTGATAAAAATTATTTTTATGGAAAATAAGTCTGATATTCGGAATCAGAATGAAGAAATGCAATGGACAATTAAGTTTCAATTGAAAATATCTCAAATTAAAATTTAGCCCGTACTATCTTTTAGGGTTTTAATCGTGAAATATTAACTTATAGAGTATCTCAATATCAGCCTTAGTTTCCATAAAAATAATATTTGATAATCAAAATCTTGATATACTTACTGTTTTTGTTTTCGATACGACCCTATTCTAAAGATTATGATATCTTTATTAACACTGAAAATCTGCGACGTCTGTTTTCATAATGTCATATAATCAAATCATTCAATGTTGCCACCGGTAACGATTAGCGGCCTGTCCGGTCAAGTAGAAGATTTCTTGCCGGCTGTCATAGGTCTTTTCGAGTTTTTCAATGGTTTTTTTTTCGAAAAGTTGATCAAAGAAGTTTGTTTTTTTTCGTATATCAAACCAGTTTTACTGATGTCAATGACTATTTCTATGATGGAGCATACATTAAAAAAATTCTATTAAGTAAATATTCATCAAAGTAAGCCTAGTATATTCTATCAAGTCACTTCAATATTAAGTTATATTATCGAAACAAAATAGAATCACTGTTCACCATTGTAATTTATTATATAGTTATCTTCATTTCGTATTTTTTAAACTATACGTTTTGCAGAGACAAAAGGGATGACGAAATGAATCAATTGTGAGATACAAAGTACATCTATAGCTGATTCAAAATTTCTATGTCTGACGAAGATTTCATTAGTGTGCAAGGCTAATATAGAATTTATAGTCCTATGAAAATTTATGTCTATCGATCGATACCAAAAAAGAGAGAAAACTTATAGAAATAGATATGAAAGAAAAAGTTTTCAGAGTAATTTATACGGAATTAAAATATTAAGCACGAGGGAACTAATTCAAGTACTGTGGGGAAATCTCATCATCTATATGATAGATCGTCGCAGGTCCAAAAACTAGCATGTCAGAAAATCTACTAGGCCATTACAGACATATTGAAATATTTGTCACAGTCTTTCAGTAAGTTAAAAGAACATTGGAATGTTTGTTATTGCCTTTGGGGCAAACTGGGGAGATGAAATCAATTTTTGCGCCATAAACTTCAACATTCATTGACAATCATGTTTCACAAAAGCATCATAATAGTGAAAGAGAAGCCTTACGTAATTTTTGTAGTGATTCAGAGGTAGGCACATCTAAGCATGAGGTTGCTTTGACTATTACCGGATGAGAAAAATTAAAAATGATTCATATTAGTCTACTGGCCAATCTGATCTGATGTGACAGATTGAGATCCGTATCGGTTAAAGAAGAAATCCTAACGATTGCAACACTGGCACCATTCAAAACTAAAAATTAGCTAAAAGAACGTCTCTAGTGCTCGTGAGGTAGGAAGACAAGTATAGCCCATGGAAAAACTCTCGATTGCTGTATATAAATTTAACTAGTTAAAGAAAAATAGATTTTCTCTTTTTGACTTTAAAAACTTATTATAAACGTGTATTTTAACCCTGTCTCACTGGTTATTT